GTTATCAATTCCTTCATCGCTTTGATATCTTGAAAAGTCTGATGATTTGTCAGACTATAAACTACGACGAAGCCTTGGCCGTTCTTTATATAAAGATCGCGCATACTTGCGAATTGTTCAGTACCGGCAGTATCAAGAATTTCGAGTACACACGGTGAATTGTCCACTTCGATTTCTTTTCGATAAAAGTCTTCGATTGTTGGATCATATTTCTCCATAAAACATCCCGAAACAAATTGCACGGTAAGTGCACTTTTGCCTACCCCGCCCGAACCGAGGACGACTACCTTGAACTCGCGCATCTCTTTGGCAGTTCGCCTCCGTCTCCTCTTCCTCTTCGACGTGTCCAGGACCGAGAGGAAGGTTCTCTCTCCAGAGTACCTAACTGATTATCGTTGCACGTTTGTTCTTTCTCGAACACAAGAGGATTGATTGCCGCTATTAACTCCGTCTTCGTATTGTAGAAATGAATACGATAAAACGAGAACAGTTCTTATTGTCGAACAAAGACATTGAAAATATTACTAAACAATGGATCGTGCACAAGATTTCACCGTGATCGAAATATAGCCGTTATTAAAGCTCGAAGAAGACATGACAGCACCGTATTCACACTCTCTGTCACACACCGCAGTCCCCTGGCGACGTTCGCCTGGCCTGCCTCCTTCCTGTCTTTCCTCTACCCCTCACTTCTTCCCTAGGTCTGACGTGCGTGACGCCATCTTATCATACTTGGATTTTCTTCGAAGCTCCTGCGCGAACATTGAATATTGCTTCTATCCTTTTAATCTATTACTAGTTTACATATATCCAATACATATCTTTCTAGCATTTATCTTATAAGATCTAAAATCAACTTTTAAGACGTGTTTTCAAATTTTCTAGTATTTCTCTTTTTTCCTCTGTTGAACTGTTCTATGATTGGTGAATACCGATTGGATTGGAAAAGTTGGACGAATCACAGTGCTGGATGAGAAGACTGACGATCGCTCTTTCTTTGTGTATAATTGAACCCGAGGAAAATAGTAAGAGAAGAATCACGGAAACTCCCTTTACCGGATGCAAATGTCATTCCCTTATCTTCCAGACAACACTATCCACGATCTCACGCTTTCAAGCGTTCAGTAAGTTTTATTAATATTCATTTAATATTCAAACATTCTTCTATACAATAATCATGATTTATCTATTTTTTTTATTTATTATTTATATTTATTTTTATTATCAGATTATTAAAAATTGCTCTTCAAGTATTATTTATAAATTATTATTTTTTATTAATAAAAATCATCTGAATTATATTTCATGTATTATGATTAAATAAAAATTTAATATTGTATTAATTCATTAAATGATTTATTAGGCATAAATTATTATTGATAATAATATTATTAATTTTGATTAATATTTTTATAAATAAATAATTATATAATTTTAAGTTACAGAATAAAATAAAAAATATTATTTGTCGGAAGTATAACTATACAAAATTTCTTACAATTTTTTCCAAGATTATATAAATATATATATATAGTATAATTATGTACAAATTCTTAAAATAAATTAATAGAAAACAATTTAGAAAGAAACTTGTGTAATATTAAAATCTATTTTTTATTAAATTTACTTTTTTTATATATTTTTAGTATTAAATTTTTTCTTTTTTTTTTTTTGACTTATATTGAGAAAAAATCAAATAATAAAAAATAGGTGAGAAAAAGAAGGAAGGAAATGAAGAAATATGATATATAAATTTCATGTTTCGTTTTCCACCATCAAAGGGCGTAACCATGCATTAGTGTGCCATGTAAATACGTCATTCCAGCAGTCATGGCGCTGACGACCTTGTGGTATGCGAACGTAGATACATGTGAGACATAATGACATCATCCGATGAAAGTGTACATAACTGAATAATGCATCATTTTAGGTATACGTATTTAGTGATGATAATTAGTTATTCATAATAAAGGCTAATTTTTATTTTTTTTTTCAATATTACGACTTCTGATTTTAGTCAAATCTTTTGTATAAAAAAAACAAAAAATATAATTATTATTTAATAATAATATCGATTTAATTTAGACTAATAAGTAATAATAAATAAATAATAATTAGTAATACTAAAATGTTTTGTTTACAAAATAATATATTATTAAAAGTTTATATAAATTTACAATATGTGTTACGTTATTATAAATATTAATGCTAATAAATAAAAAGATTATAAACTAGAACAATGAATTATACGAATAAGCAAATAAGATGATTTATTTAAAATATCAATTTTGAACAGAAAATGTAATCTTGAAATGCACATTTATTGACATGCTTATCAATGATTTTCAATGTCATTAATTGGAGCAACATTGAAATTTACCGCTTCGATTATATAGCGTTAATTTGATTAATTTAATTTGTCGTTCGTTCACCGTGAAAAGTGTAATCAGTGCGTGTTATGAATGCATTAAAAAAAAAAGTTGTTCGAAGTTATTCGTAACAAACGAGGAAACTATCAATTAGGTCTCATGAAACCTAATTTCACACTATTAAAAAATAGTGCAATGAAATGGAAACAAGTTTAAGATAAGTTAAGTTAAATTTAAGATCTTTTTTAATTGGTAGTAAATTTTTTTACATATGTTTTTCTGCATATTTGTTTCTTTGTTTGATTTTTTATCTTATATCCCTTTTTATTATATGATTATATAATATAAATATAAAATAAAAAATATAAAACAAAATCTATAAAAGTTTTTATTTATATATATTTTTTTATGTTTATATACATAATAATATGTATATGTATATACACATAATAAATATATATATATTTTGTATATATAATCTAAGATATATTAATTTATTATAATTTAATGATTTATTAATAATTTATTATATAAAAAAGCAATGAAAATTATATGTATCACAATGACTCAAATTTATAACCTAAATAAACTGACAATGAATAAAGTGAAAATACAGAACTGCAAGAAATATATAGCATGTTTCATATATACAAAGTGTTAAAGATATTTTCTTAGAAAATATGAGAAAATTATCTTTTCAAATTTAATGATATTATCAAAAAAAAAAAAAAACTATTAACTTATTAGTATCTCATTTTGTTGACAAAAAGAATATGACATTTAAAGAAATTTTCCTGTTATCCTTAATGGTTCTCGAGATAATAGCTTATAATACTTAAAATGAATCATCCAACATGTAAAATAATATATGAATAATTGTAAACAATTCCTAAATAATTCCAATATGAAAAATATTTTTAATTGATGCATGAACAATAGTAATGAATGATAGTAAAAATATGAAAATAGTCTATAATATCATACATTTTATTCTTATTTATAACAATATAGTAATTGCAATATAATATATTTAATTGGTATTTAATCATTAATATTCATGTAATTTATCGATCATAGACATATCGAAAGACAAAGGATTGTTATCAATTAAAAAAGAAGTTATCAACTATAGTTTATATAGTTTATGTCCTCAGTTACAACGACCCTTATGAGCGGACAATGACCTGACAATTTCAATAACATAAACAATGTAATGATTGGATTCGTCACCATACGATCTTGTTCGTAACTAAATTTCAGTATATCTGCTTTGTTGATAAAGGAGGTATTTATAAAGAATATTACCGATTGAGGAAAATCAAACATAACCTAAATATCAAAACAAAAGATTAACAAATCGAAGAGAAATTTGTTTAATTGTTGATTTTTTATGTAAAGTTAGATTATTTAAGTTTTTATACATTAAGTAAATTACAATTAATATAAGTAAGTAATCTATAATTCTTTTAATAATTTATAATAAATTTCTTATAAGATGCATTTAATTTTATATATTAACAAAAATGCTCTAAAAATATTATAATTAATATGTTATTCAGCTTTAAAAAAATAAATAAAATTAAATATTAAAATAATCATATTATTTTTTTATAATTTCTAGATAGAATATTTTAAAAAATATTTATAAATACATCAATAAAAATATTAAGATATTCTAAGATATTATATATAATAAAATAATTTTGATATGCATATAGGTAAATAAATATGACTTCTCTTCATCTTTCACCAACTGCACCAGATGAATCTCTGCAATCCGAAATGCCAATAATACGAGAAGGTAAAATTTATTTGCATTTTTAATGTTTTTCTATATATATATATATTTTTTTTTATATGTATATTTCTATTATGTACTGATAATTATTGCTATTTATATATAAACATTTAAATATATCTTATATATTTAATATATCTTATATATTGTTATTGATAAAAATTTCCTCATTGATAAAGATTTTATTTAAGTATAATATATGTATAAATTTTGTTTTTGAAATTCGTAAGATATGTATATGTGTATTCTTTATCAGATTTTTAAAATTATTATTTAATTTTAAAATTATTTTTTAAATATTATATTTATTAATTATAATTTTAGATTATAAAATTATTATAAATTATTATATAAAAACTATTCGAATATGTACAAATATATAAAAAAAAATTATTAAATTTTTAATTACAGATTTATACATATATAAATTATAATTTAATATATATATAAGTATCAATTTAATTTATATTGCTGCAATTTTTCTCTTTAATATGTATATTTATATTATATACGTGTTATATTGTCAATAAATATATAAACATTTTAACATAAAAAATACAAAATATTTTTATTATCTTATCTAATTAGAAATTATCTTATTTAATTATTTCTATTATTTTTATCAATAAAAATATTTTTATCGTATATAATAAGAGATATATAGATTATATAGACTATATAGAGAGACAAGAGAAATAAGTTATGACATAATATAATTAAATAAATATAATAAAATAAAATTTCTTCACTAACTAGGTAAGTAGTTATTTTAAATAATATTATAATAAATGATAAATTCAAAGTACATGTCACGTGAAAAGAAATTCGCACGATAGACGCTGTTTGTCAAATGACGATCAGTAAGTAGATAATAGTCGTCTTCGTTGATGGAAACGTCACGTAAGCGGGATAAGTGACATCCAGTTTCGTGTGCCTCTCGCTTGTTTCGCTCTTTTATGGGCGGTAAATATTAATCGTATCTCTACGCGCAACTCAACTGAATCTCGATCGATGTTCAAATTGTTTGAAAAACACGAATTAACTAATTCATTTATAAATTATGAGTGTCGTTATATTAAATTATTTAATATTGTTTGTGAAAATGCATTGTGCAAATATCGGTATACCATCTTATGTTAATAATATTGCCATTCTTTTTTATACGAATAATAGAATAGTTATATAATTATAATCGCAAGTGTTGAATGAAAATTTCGATTAATTGAAATTTTTTAATATTATAATGATGTTGATATTTAATTATGTATATAATTATGTGTATATAATGAATCAAAGAATTTATAGATGTTAAATGATTGCTGCATTTCGTATATTTCTCTAAAAGCGAATCTTTCTGATATGAAAATTTCATTAAAAAATATGTTATTTATTACTATATTCGTTATTTTGTTGCTTCTTTTGGTTTCACGTTACGGATAAGTAATTTAAGAATGAAGTTGTGGTGAATACAAATGAAATGAATACAATTGACGCCAGAAGAAACCTTGAATTTTGAACACATTTATTTCTATGAACTCTTATCGTTAGATAAGAAAAAATAAAGAAAAAATTTTTTCCTTTGAATGAAGTTTTCAAAAATGTTTTTTTTTGGCGATAAAATGAAATGGGAATTCTGTAATATTATTGATTCATGATTCATAATTAATTAACAATGTGTAAAAATTAAATAATGTTCTATTTAATTTACGAAATAATTCGTCTATTCGAACATGTGTCGGCGGATTGACAATTTACTATCGATGAATAACGTAATTATTCGTAATTACATTTCATTCTATTTTTTAGAAATTATTTAGAATTTTAAATTATTTTTAAAATTCTATTTTATAACATGAAGATTTTTAATACATCTGTTTTTTTACAATACGATGTTCAAAATACAATATTTTATTGGTAAATATTGACATTTGCGATATACATTTACAAATTGATCAATTGATTGAATAATCATTTATTTTATAAAATAATTATATATAATTTAAATAAAGTTAAAATTATTATAATTTGTAAATAATTTAATTAAATATTTTTACGCTATTAATTGTTATATTATCCTTCTTTTTTTATTTGTTAAAATAAATTATCAGAAATAATAATAAAAAGAGAAAAAGTATGTTAGGATAAAAATATCTTAAATTATTTTAAGATATTATAGCTGGAAAAGTTTTAACCTAGAGGAAAGCATTTATTTTATTTTATTTATCTACAAAGATAACGTGAAACGCAGAGTCGTTTGAAGAGGTAAATCTGTCCCAAGGAAAGTACATACACAAGTTTATCATTTTGCTGAGAAGGAGAAACTTGAGAAAACAAACGATCGTTAGTGTATTTAGTGCTTCCAATAATTCAGTACACAGTTTTATTCGTGCCTGCATTAAATAAATGAATGAAATATATTTCCATACATTAAAAATGAGAAAGAATTTATGAGAACAAGTGGTGACGGTAAAAAATAATACGGTAATAATAATATTAAAATAGAACTAAACAATTAGATAAGATGTTTTGATATATTTATTTTATAATTGAGAAAAACTAAAAGTGAATGTTGGTTGTGAAAAAGTATATAAGTGATGGAGTCTGAATATTTGGAAATTTCTTGGAAAGCAAAAATACAACAAATACGAAAACGAATTCGTGTTTTATTTAGGGACACGTTAAAAAAATATAGATCAAAGAGAAAGGGTTATACCAGATTTCTTACAGATGAGGAAAAGAGGTAATTTTATTACATGCTTGAATACTAATTAAATGGACTAAGAATAAATTTAAAAAGCTAATTGATCAGATAAAATAATGTTAACGAAAATTTAATCGTTATGTGAAATTAATAATTCTGATTTGAAAGTAAAAATTCAAATAATTTTGAATTCAATTTTGAATTTAGATTAAATTTAGATTAAAATAATATTCGAATTTATTTTGAAATTCAGTCTGTTCGTGAAAATGCAAAAATATTTAAAAAAACGATCAACCGATTAATCTAATTAATCTAATTATAATATAAAAGAAGAAATATAATTTTCAATATGCTTTTTATTTTAGGTGGCTTATCATTGCCGAATATGACTTGTCCAACCGGCTTGGAATACCTTACAGTCCTTGATTATTTAGGCATACGGCTGAAAAATACGATAGAAGGTTGGTTTTAAAACAATATGTTATGTTTCTCATTATAATTCACAGTTATTGTAACGTGTATATAAATCAATGAAATAATTACAGTCGACCATTTTTGGAATGCTAAAAATGAATTCTTCGTGTTGAATATCAGAGGAGAGACAATATTTAATGTTACGGAACAATCAGATTGGTGGGGACGTTTATGTTTCGGTGCTTCTCGTACTTGTGAATTTCACGTGACTGATACTTATGGAAGAGAAGTTCTACGTATGATTCAACCTTTTACTTGTTCATTTCAGGTATTTTTGTTATCTTCATGCTATAAAAAATATTTGAATTAATAATCGAACGCGTGGCAACAATTCGAAAAAAAAAAAAAAAAAGAAAATGCGAATCACGACATATCAATTAGAAATTTTAATATCTTTATATAATCTTTATATCTATATATCTTTATCTTTATTGTAATTTTGATAATGAAAAATTTTTCTTAATAACTAATTAGATTTAGATGCTAATTATTTAAATTGCTTCTTTTTATGCTCGACATTAATTGCACAACTTATGAGTTTTATCATTTACATTATTTAATCTATTGATAGATTCTTTTGTTATTTTTCCTATATAACAATTGCATTGTATCTTACTTTCGCAATTGTATGACGATGCAAGCATATTTTATATGAAACAATCATAATAGTTAATTCATGAAGGACACGTCCTCCAGCCACGTTACCATAATTGCTTCTTTATTTATGATGGGCTAATAGATACAGCTCGCGAAATGTTCGCTTGAGTTTCTTGAGAACATGCGGTGCACACAACGCGCGAACTTTCTTCACACGTGCGCACCATCTGTAGATTACCTTTGACGAAAAGTTATTCGGCCCATTAGAAAAGCCAGTCACGATCGATACTCTTTGACTAGCACCGCTCACCGACGCTTTTGGACGTGTTGTTTCAGTGTGCGGTGAAGAACCTCACTCATTCGATCCTATATGAGAGCATTAGGAATAAAACCCTTTGATATACATCGGTTATAAATGTTTTTGAATACAAAGCAACTGAAAAAGTAAATCGTCAAAATAATTTATCGTATATTTTACGTGAATTAAAGCGTGTAATTACATGTAATTTCTCTTGTGAAAAATTTTTCTTTCTTATTACAAAAATCGTTCGTAAAGTAATGAAATTTATTTTTTTTAAAGATAGTCTTTAATCTTATAAAATTTTCTTTTAAATTATATGTGCAAGTTATAAAAGAAATAAATTAAATTTGATTTATATATCGAATGGTTAATGTAATTTGTATCTATTTGTACATCTATTTCACATAATGTGCAAAATAAAAAGATTGATAACTGAGCGTAATGCTGACTATTCATTTTGTGTAAATTCTTTGAAATAGATCTATATATAAAAATGTATATGACTTTTTTAAAGCAAATATTAAGTGTAAATATTTCTTGTTGAAACTCAACTTAAATATGATTTAATTTTTTTCTTCAGTAAATGCTAAAAGTTGCTTGAATATGTATAACATTCATAATATTATCATAAAATTATATATTATATATAAATATTTTATTTCGAAATTACCGCTATTCTTTATATATATGTATATATTTTTTTAATCGTGTATATACATATATATAGCTTTAAGATTAATAATTTGATTTAATTAATAATTTTGAATTTCCTAATTTATTTGCAGAGATTACTAGTATATTCTGAAGATATATTACTCGGTTCTGTCTCACAAAATTGTTTCTTTCTAAGGCCAAAATTTTCTATTAACGATTCGACTGGGAAAACTGTTTTAAAATTAAAAGGACCACGATTTCCAAATTGTAATAACATAGTGTATAAGGTAAAAATATTAATTTTAACATACAGAAAACGTATATATATATATATAAGTATTTGGTTAATACGTAATTTTTTTTTTTTTTTCAGATAAAATCTGCAGATAATAAACATAAAGTTGGACAAATTAAAATGACGTTTAAAATGAATTATTTCATTCCTTTCACCGACATAACCACTAATGATTTCAATATAAATTTTCCTTTAGATTTAGATGTTAAAATTAAAAGTGTTCTTCTTGGCGCTTGTTTTTTACTCGTAAGTTCAATCACAAAAATTCGATTGGATATTAGTATTTATAAATTTATTAATATTATAAATATTTATGTTTCAGGATTTGTTTTATAAACGAAGAAGACAAAGTATTTTGCTATGAAATAAAATATTACAGTACAGAAAGAAATATTTATATCAAAACGTACAATATTTTTAACGACTTTGATATATAATTATTATTGATTTGATATTTTTGTATTTTAGTAAATAATTTGAATGATGAATATTATTCATTATTCAAAGTATATTTAATAATGTGAGATTTTGCGAGTTGTGTGAGATTTACCTTTTGAGATTTCTATTAAAAGACTAAATAAGTTATTCAATTCCTAAATTTTTAAATAACTTTACAATATAATATTATTATATAAAATATATATAATATTATTATATAAAAATATTATAAATACTATATTTACAAAATAAAATTAATAATTTTTTTCAAAAATATGCAGTTATTATTAATTTCCAAAAGAGGTAAAGTTAAGAAAAAAATAGTACATTATTGTGTATGTCTTTTTATTCGTGTTTTAAACTCACATTTTCATACATCTGATAGTGAAACTGTTACTGCCTCAGCTGCAGCATTTAGTATGCTATATTCGTCGCAGATGTTCTTGGTTTTGGTAAAAAATGAGAATGGAAAAACAACATGCGTGTAACATCCTTTCCTACATACATTAGAATACTGCTGCCGGGATGTTGCAGACATTGTACTTGTTGCATTTTTTTTTAACACATCAAGGACCGGATTTGTACATTAGATTTCAAAATGAAATTCGTGATATTTATTTAGAAACATAATAATAAACATAAAAATTTATATAGATTCTGTTAGCAAGAATTCCTTCACTTTTACAAAATATACCTTCATTTTCAAAAGATAATATAGTCGTTAAATTAACGTTTCCATAAAAGTTTTAAAGGATACCAAGACGATAACAGTTCAAATATTGAATAATATAATTAAATACTAATAGAAATATTCTTTGAAAAAATGATTCTTACTTTTTTGTTCATATAAATTTGTTTTCTATACTTATTATTATTAAATGATATTTCGACTTATTTCGACATGAACAAAAAAATCTGTTCATGGCTGTAAAAAAATTAAATAGAATTGAAATCGACTTCTTTTTTGCAAAACATCGTACAAAATTCAAAACATCCTCAACGTGTTAAGCGGAAAGCATCGCGATCCGTTCAATCAATGCAAATTTTTATATAATGATGTAATTCATCTTTGCCTCCTCGTTAAACATTATTACAAATGTTAAAGAATTTTCACGAAGTAACACGTGTAGATATAAGGATTCCAGTAAATAATACAAAAAAAAAAAAAAAGATAAAAAAAAGAAAAAAAAAATAAAAAAGAAAGGTTAACAAGAATAAAAAGAATAAAAAAATGAATAGAGAAAATGAAAGAATAACT